AATAGAAGATTATAGGAGGGTTTCCTTCTTGTATTCGGCTAAGGTAGTCCCTCTCTTATCGCAACTTAAACTTCTATCGAAACTCAAACTCCTACTTCTAAGGGAAACACAAAAATAGGGGATAAGGGAAAGGTACAGCTGGCGTGTGGGCCCCGCTCTATGTTGGCGCGTGTGACCCACCTTGCTGTTGCTGTGAGGTGTGTGCTGCTGCCGGGCGGCTGGCATACTGTACCGCGGCGCGCTGCTGCCTGTGGTTGCGACACAGCGTGTTGCCGAGAGTCGTGTCCATAACAAATCCACACCACATCATAGTCCATAACTATTTTAAACTGTGGACAACCTATGTGGATAGGACCAGTCCACACCCATAGTGGTGTTTCTGTACACTTTTTTGATTCTATGTATCTCATGTACATGGAATTAATGATATACACAGTTAATTATAAATATGTAATTTTTGCATTTTGTATGATAAATATTTAAAAAAATGCATCAATGAATTAATATTAACMAAAAAATATCAATTTTTTTTATAAAACAATAGTAAAATAATTAAAAATATATATTAAATATAAAAAAATATTATTTCATTGATGCTGACATTCCCAGTGGTGGCCTGAATGGGTTTGTTTGTGCTTTGCCTAATAAGTTCTGTGGACTTGAAAATAGTAACTTTCATATTCGAAAACCAGCTCTACTCTCATCTGCAAAGCAGGTGGTGGAGGTTAATAGGGAGTATTATCCTATTGGTGACCCATCTCTGCTCTCATCTGAGTGAGTATCATCCTATTGCACCTAAATAAGTATTTTATTTCATCACTATAATTGATTCTTTGTTTTATTTTATTTTTCCAATATAAATTCTTGTAGTTGATATTATTGTGTCATATGACCAATTCTATTCACAAGCAGTAATAATGCCAAGCACTGTTTGAATCACAGGAAAATGTGATCAGTGGAATTTTGTGCAAATTCATAGGTATAATTTGGTTTTAAGTATTTTTTACCTRTTTTTCATAGAATAAAAATAAATCTAAAATTTGTAATAGAGTTAAATAATGGAAGAAAAGATGATCAATATAATAGGAGAAGAATAAAAGAGAGAAAGGAGAAAAAAAGACTGCAACGCAATACCGAAAACTAAAGAACACGCATGCTGGAGATTGTGACCACCAACCCACCAATGCAATACCCAGAAAGAAACAAAAAAAAAAAAACAATAAAAAAAACAGGAAAGCAACATAGAGGTTCGGTGAAGAGAAAAAAAAAAGAGAGGATGTTGTTAAAGATCAAAAAAGGATGCAACATGGGTCTTACCTTCAATGAAGAACTTGGGCAGCGTCGGTGGAGCACAGTAGAGGCAGTGGAGGACGCAAAGGCGGTGGAGCACAACAGAGGCGGTGGAGCACGCAGAGGCGGTGGCGGTGGAGCACAACAGCAAAGGTTTGGCGGAGGAGACCTTGAACAAGATATAGGGTTATAGATATTGTGCGTGAAACACTTTATCAAAGACAACCTATGGAAGAAATCCATCCACGAGAAGAAGCCATTGCCGAGAAATTAGAGTGTGAACGGGATTGGTCCACGAGATAATGTAGACCGGTCCCATCCACAATGAACCGAACGCTACTTTCATCTCATGGCGTGGACTGAAATGGTCCATCCACGAGATGTAAAGAGTACCAAACAGCACCTGAATCTTGAAGCATAGGGTAGCTTTTTGTCACAAATGAAAGTTCACGGACATTAAGTGTCACTACCCCAAGGTATAGGGTGAGTATATGTATTTTATCCAAATATTTTCATCAAAGTTTTTCTTTTATAAGTTTATATAAAATTCAAAATTCCCCAAAAAATATAAAACTCAAAATTTCACACAAATTACACTATATGCAAGTAAAAAAAGATTCTAAAAAAAGTTTATATAAAATTCAGAAGTTCACCCAAGAACTTTTGGATTTGATTAACTCACCTTTAAAAAGATTGGACCCACGTTAGCTAAATAAAAAATCACCAGAATCAAATAATTTTATTTATATCTATATTTTTATGGTGATCTACTTACTAGGAGACTTTTATTATATAGTTGCACAAAGAAATGCCTAAAGTTAATATTGATTAGTAATCAAAATTGTCGTAGAGAAATCAACCAAAAAAAACTTTTCTTATTTTTCTAAATTGGTGAAAATTCCTGATTAGTACTCTCTATTTCTTATTAACTAATTGTTAATCAGTCGTTAAGTGGTATTTGAAAAAGATACAAATGCCCTTCAAGTGTTATTTAATTTTCTTTATCGACCATCTAAACATTGAGAAAAAAATTAACAATCCCAATTCCTTGCCTTTTTCCATTCAAAAAAAGTTGGGGTCACGTTTGAGTGGTCATTATGGTGACCCTAACTTTCTTGAATAGAAGAGGCAAGGATTTGAAACTGTTAATTTTTTGTCAATATTTGGATGGTTGATAAAGAAAATTTGATGACACTCGAAGGACGTTGGTGTCATTTTAAATGCCACTTAACGATTCGTCAACAACTAGTTAACAAGTACTAGATTTCATGTGTTGAAAGTTCAAGTATTAAATTCTCACATTTTAAAATTCAGGGACCAAAGTGACACTAGGCCCGAAGTACAAGGTACTAATCGGGAATTTTCCCTTACTATTATCGATGGGGTCCATTATCCGTTTAATAGAGGTATAAATCAGGGCATGTTGCCTGTGGCCTGGCATGACGGTCTGCGGGCCATGCTAGGCCCGACACGACTGTACGGGCCGTGTTGGGCTTGGAGTTTTAGGTTCATGGGCCGGGTTGGCACGATACGACCGAGCGGGTTGTGCCGCCCACGGCCCAATCCGCAGCCCAGCTAGACACGACCCATGTATATTATTTTTATATATGTTATATAAATTATAATTATATAATAATATATAATATATAATATATTAATAAAATAAATAATTTTTTAATTTTATTATACTAATTTATTTAATTATTATATACATAAACAATTATCAAAATTCATAAAAAATTAAAATTTTAAATTTTTTATGAATTTTTTTAAATAAATAACTTTCACTCGATGCACGGTACGACTTGGCACATTTACCCGTTTTACACCTACATGGCACATGGGAGACATGTTCATAGAAGGGAGACTGTATCATTGATGATGGCACCTTTGTTGTATTTTGTCGGTTTCTTCGGGTACGCAGTAGATGCGCGTCTATCTAGTTACTACACTTTGCGACATGATTAAACGTGGAGCTCTAGATGGTTGTGTGCCGACTCGGGACAAAATAGGACCACTTTTCTTCCAAGTTCCGACGTTGATTCTTCTTCTCTTTTTTATTTCTCCGAGTCCTTGGGTTTTTGCTCTGTATATCGTCTCCCTCGATCGAAGTATCGAAACTCGTCTGGAGCTGGAAAGGAGCTGATATAATATTACYAGTCCTTCTCCTTCCTGTAATAAAAGCCAGAAAAATTCCGGTTTGCTGTGTTGTACTTCCTTCTTCACAAGTGAAAAACTTCTGAGATTGAGTGTTGCAGACCATTGGTTCCATGTGAGTTCGGTGCCCACTTCTCTAACTTACTTACRTTGCAACTGAGAATTTGCTCTTTTAGTTCTTTCGCAAGGCTCTTCTGAGTTTCTTGTTTCCCTTATTAAACATTCTTCTTTTCCTTTCTTTCTTAAATGTTGTTATCGAGAATCATACTGTGATCCTCCGACCATATATCGTTGTATGTTCTGATAGACTTTTTAAATGAAACTTGTTGCTTCCCACATCTTTGAAATCTGCTCTATCATTAAACCCTTGTGTTCTCATGTTGGAATGAAGCTAACTGGAGACCAAAAGGTGTACTGAAGAAGGCCTTCTTTTCTTTTGCTGGATTGCTCTACACAATTTTGATTAGTAACGGGAATTATTGTGTTTAGACGCTTGTTAGTTTCGATCTATCGCATCAAAATGATTATGCCCGTAGGTCTAACGTAAAATCTGTATGTATTTATTTAATTCAGTATTACTCTATCATGTGCCTTCTCTGTAGGAGTTCTTTGTTTTTCCGGATGACAAAGATCAAGAGGTGAACTTTTCTATTAAGTCTTTCTTTATTTCTTTTCTTCTTTTTTTAGCAACATATTGATTAGAGGAGTCGCTGAAAGAAAAGTCAAGTGGACTAGAGAAGATCTAAGGTGATCGTGTGCCTCCGAAAACGGAGCCTTGAAGCTTATAGGCATATTTTGTTGAAATGACTCTTTTGATGCTGTTTTTGGAGTTCGCAAAGAGAAGAATAGGAAAGCTTCTGAAGGTGTTGGGCACTCTGTGCATTGAATTTGCAAGGGTGCTAGTTCTTTCTTGATGGATTGACCATTCAAAAAGATGGATTGAACAATTTGAAGATATAAATAGAACTTAATTTGCCACCTTTGTTTTTTTCTGGATTGAGGGTTTTGGACCTCTTGAAGTTGTGAAAGTCCTATACATTGAATTTAAGATATAAATAAAACTTAATTTGCCACCTTTGTTTTTTCTGGATTGAGGGCTTTGGGCCTCTTGAAGTTGTGAAAGTCCTATACATTGAATTTTCCAGGATATTGGGTCTCCTAGGATTTGATCAATGAATAAGATTTCTAGCTTTACTAATAATTACTAGTTCCAATCGTAGGCTCTGGTTTTTCTTCTTAGTAATAATTGCTTGCTAAATTTTGTTGTTAGCATTTCATCTATTAGTAACTGTAGCCTCTACCTTGTAATGGCATTGGATTTTTTTATTTAACAATCTTCTTTTATTGGTTAATTTTGAAAATATCCTGGTTTGAGTGGAGATAGAATTTATTTGCTGCAATTCCATGTAGTTTTAAGAATCCAATTTCTAACATGCAGGACATAGCAGATCAATTGTCGTTGTCTTCAGAGCTTTCCCTGGGAAACTTTAATAGAATAAAGTTCTGAAAGCAGTAGCAGAATTCAACCCTTGATAGCCTTTTGTTTATTTTGCAAAGGAAGATTCTCGTTCTGGCAATGGATCATATTGATGAAATATGTAGAAACAAAATAGCATCACTTACACAGGCATTATATGCAGCAAAATATATAAAAGAGGACAGTGCTCCATGTGAAATTGAAGAGGTAATTAATTAGATTTTTCTCACATATTTTATAATTTATTTTCTCAATCTCTGTTTCTTTTGATTATTGATTTCTTCTTGTTGTTTAGCTAGATTTTATTAACAATGCATACTCAATCCTTTGAATATTTTTCTTCACTACCTCAGGGCCTATTTTTGGGATCTCTTGGAGCTGCATCCAACAGGAATGCGTTGAAAAGTTTGAATATCACTCACTTATTGACTGTAGGAAATTTATTGGGGTTGGTTTACCTGTCCAACGCAAAAGATTTCATATATAAGATAATTTAAGGTAGTGTAGTTCCTTGTATTTTGATCCCTTAAGTAGTGCTTCTTTTTTTGTATGTAGGGGTCAGTGGGTCTGGTTAAGTGGTAAATTCATACTGACCTGACCTATTGGGTTAGGGTTGTAATTTGATCCCTTAAGTAGTACTTCTTTCTTTGTATGTAGGGAAGCCAGTGGGTCTGGTCAAGTGTTAAACCCATACTGACCTGACCCTATTGGGTTAGGGTTGGGTCAGCCAGCCTTAATCGAGTTTCCAGTTAAGGTGACCTGTGCTAAAACCAGCATGTTGACATGGTGGCAATGTAACATTGAGGTATTTGTAAATATAAGCTTGGTTGAGTATAGGTGTACCATATATGGGACAAGGAGGGGCAGGTTCATATCCTCTCTTTATTTAGATGGGTTGGATTCACACCCAAGTTGCTCCAAGTTGAGGCAAACCTGCACCTGTTGACATCCCTATTTATATGGACTATCATATCCTAGCGCCCAAACTAAAGTTGATCTAGGTAAAAAAGAAATAATTTATTGCATGTATTTTCTTCAGTATAATTTTAGCTTTATAGGCTAACCATCACTTCAATCTATTGGTCTTTACATCCTGTTCTGACTTCCTTGATTATGTGTATGTTATTTGGAACAATGATAATGGGCACAATTTGATGATAAGCAGAAGATGTTTTTTATCCAATGATTAAAAATTTTAAAGCCTAAAGTTATTCTTGTTTTATCAGAAATGTTTGACTAAAAGTCTTATGGTTTTGCATATTGAGGTAACCTTCAATGAGCATAGAATGTTGTTGGGCTTGGCATATAAAAAAATCTGTCATGGAATTAAGTTACCCTTGTGATGTCAGATATTCAGGTGTTTCCGAATTTGGTATATGATCCCAGACATGCTGTCTTAAAACATAGATAAATAGATAAAAAGAACGGAGTGCACAAACTTCTGTTCAAGCATATTTTGTTACATGCAGCAACTGATGTTTCACCCAAGCAGTGTTTAGCTTGTCAATCTTTTCTTCATGTTGCATCCTTCAACCAGAAGCAAAGTAAAAAAAGATTCACTTTCTGACTTGTTTATTTAAAAACTAGGAATTATTTATGAGCTAATGATTCTGTAACTTGTGGAGAATAGGTATGGATAAGAAAAAGATACAAGTAGCTTATCCAATGGGCCCTTTATTTTGGCTGTAATTTTCCATCTTATCTGGAGCTGGTTAGCCCTTTGTGTGGCAGAATCTCCTGTAATTGCATACTCTGGAGACTCTAGCACCAGAAAGAGAATGCATGTAACGTATTACATTATCAGGATAACTTTTCCTAATGAAAGCATTATAATGGCCATCTCCTGTTTCCATTAATTGATCTTCTACTGGGCTTTCTGCTTTGTTGTATTAGATGGTTGTGAATGCTACGCCATTACAAGCATGCGGTATTGAAAAGTTATGAATATTTATCTTGTTCCCTGTAATTTGTTGTAGTGGCTGACAGAGAAGAGACTGATATAGCTCAGCATTTTGAAGAGTGCTTTGATTTCATTGACGGAGCAAGAAAGAAGGGTGGTGGAGTGTTAGTTCATTGTTTTATGGGAAGATCAAGAAGGTAATTTTTCTGTTTCTGTCTGTTTTCATTTATTTCAAGGGATTTGTCTTCTTTTAGATATTGGACAAATGCATAGAAAATTGTCAGTGTCAGTCATGGATAATGATATTTCAAAGTCTGTCCTTGAGAATCATGTTATTGGTTTTATTCTTTTGATATTTTTTTGAATGATTAGAAGATAAGAATGCGATTTACACAAATTTTCAGTTTGATTGAGATGAGAGCTACAACCATATGCACAAAGACACATGTGGACGTCTAGTATCCTGTTCACTCTTTGTTGAACTTGCTATATAATTTACATATCGATCAGATAATACTCCATATCTCTTGATATGGACTCCAAGTAGCTTTTGTTTCATGAATTGTATGTTATTTCTTGTCATTTAACCATACAAAGAAGTAATCCTTGTGTAAAATTTTGCATACTCTTGTCTAATGGGTTTCATCTATATTTTGATTTTTCTATCATTGTCTTCAAAGTCTTCTCAATAATTCTGCCATTGGGTTGAAACTTTAATCCTTGACTATGCTATGATCTTTTAAATTGATAAGAATTTTTTTATTATCATCTATTAAAAATTGATAAGAAAAAAATTATTTCATTTATATCATCTTATTTTCTTTTTTATTTGAATACATATTTTTTATTTTATTATAAAAAAAAAATTGATAAGGAAAAAAATCCATAGCTGAGTAAATTTGTATGTATTTTTTCTTTTAACAGTTTACACTGGTTAAATATAACAAATCAATTTTGGCATCCTGTAGTGTCAGTTGTTGTTGCTTATTTGATGAAAAAATATCATATGGATCTATCTCAAGCTCTGGAGCATGTTAGGAGTAAACGGCCACAAGCAGCTCCTAATCCTGGTTTCATGTTACAGCTACAGAACTTTGAGAAAACACTTAAAGGTATATTGTGATTGATAGACATTTGCTTTCAGCTTGAACTCATACTTGCTTGAGGTGTGTTGAGCTCAAATACATAAATGTTGTGTATTTCTCAGTCTCAGTTGTGATTATCTCTTTTGAATCCCTAGAAGTCTGATGATTACTGTTGCAATGTCCATCAAAGGACATTGTTGGTCTCTAAGGTGGACATTTTCTACAGGGAACCCATACTTTGTTATTACAGTCTATGCTTTATAATGTGCAACTAAACAAGACATTTTCATTCATCTAAGGAAAGGGTTTCAGTCTTTTGTACACTATGTTAATAAACCAACATTTATGTTGCCCATTGAACTCTGGTAAAGGAAATACATAATAAAATAGGAATGTAGGGATATATTTAATTGCTCAAAAGTTTAATAAAAGAGAGGCTGGTGAATAGGGAATAAGCTTATGGGGAGTGGTCTCTTTGAAAGACAGAGAGGCTGGTGAATAGGGAATAAGCTTATGGGGTTAGGGATGTTGAGGCAAGGGAACATAGAGAGAGAGTGTGTGTGCTTGAGTGCTGGGTGTTAAATGTTAAGGATCAAATGGATCCCTTTCAGTACAAGGAGGATCTCTAGTTATGGGGGAGACCATGAGATCCTAAAATGTAGGAGATAAAGATGCTTGTCTCCTATCAGAGGGAATATTAGATTTGCTATCAATCATTAAGTGTGTCACTGGGGTTTTGCCACGTGTCTCATAAAGATTTTCTGAGGATCAACTTTCCTTCTCCGCAAGATCTTTCATTATTCACGTGTGCTATTACCTTTTGTGCGGTTTAACTAAATTTACATGGCATTGATGATGTCATTGCTCGACGGGTGGCACTTTGTTGACTCCACACGGCGTTCCGTTACGTCTTTTGTTGTTGTAGGCTCCATGTGCCTCCAGGCGCACGTGGGCCTCGCCATGGTCTCGACCTGGATTCCTCTTGATCTAGGTCGCAAGTGGGCTTGTAAGCCACCGGGTTATCGCATGCTTTGGTGGACATAGGTTCATCGCACGTTTGAGTAGGCTTGAGGCCCTTGGATGGGTTCGACTGTGGTTTTATTTAGTTCAGGCACCGAGTTGACTCGATGAATTGTAGGTTTATCGTGGTATTGCGATACGTGTTGTGAGTTCATCGCAGAGTTTATGGTGTGTTGTGGGTTTATCGTAGCATGAGGGTGAGTTGTGGGTTGCTCGCACGTGACTTTGTGGTGTTAGTTTTTGATGTCTATGTTTTCTAAGGGTCTGAGCGAGTATTGTATACCTACAACTTGTAATTGAATAAAGTAAACTAATAGAGTCTCAGCATGCCATTCGCCTAAAATGAAAGATGAATGAGGAGTTTCAAGCTTGACGTGAGGTGAGATGGAGAAACAAAGACCATAAAAAAAATGACAGACTGCTAGCAAATGGCAGAACTGAACTTGTAAATCCATCTAATTTGATAATTTCCACATTTCATATACAAAGTGGTCAATAAATTTTCTCCTTTTTTGAATATTTTTATTTTTTTAATTCCATGTCATTTTTGAAACAACCAATTAGATGCACTTTCCCAATAACCTAAATAATCTCTCTTCTTAAAATTACTCCTAACCTCCCCCACTTTCTCCAAAATTATCTCTAATTCCTATTTATCTTCTAAATTATCTCTAATTCCTATTTATCCTCTCCCCTACTTTTTATCTATATCTATCTAAAGAAAGTTTGGATTAAAAAAATTTCATAATTATTTAAATATTCTAACAAAGTTATTTAATAACTTTAAAATATTTATTAAAAACACAAAATATATCACGAAATTCTGTACTAACAATTTAAATTATATTTTTTGGGATTATCAATTTAAATAATTTAAATGTTTTCTAGATTATCAATTTAAATAACTAAATATTTATCATAACTAGATTTTAAATAGTTAAAATAAAAAAATTATGTAATAAATTTAAAAAAAATTCTTCAAAGTAGAAAAATAATTATAACATAATATTGAAAATAATAATAATTTAATATATTAAAAAATTAATAATGAAATTATGTAATAATAGTATAAATTATGATTTTATGGATAATTAAATTCATTCATTACTTAATATTTTAAAATTTAAATATTTTACATATTATTTAAGTAAATAAATAACTAAATATTTTAAATAATAAAATATTTAACATAACTAGGTTTTAAATAGTTAAAATAAAGAAATTATGTAATAAATTTAAAAAAAATCTAAAAAGTAGAAAAATAATTATAACATAATATTGAAATTAATAATAATTTAATACTTTTGCATAATATTGTAAATAATTAAATTCACTTATATCAAGTAATAATTTGAGACAATAACTTTCAAAAATTAATATTCATTAATAATAATTTTAAACTCTTAATATGTATTTATTATATAATTATATATACTAAAATTAATATTTATTGTCTTTTGTGATAAATGTATTTTCAATGATTATGTATAAATTTATTTTGTTTTGTTATTTAACAAAAAACTTTCAATAATTATTAGAGATTAAATTACTATTATTAAAATTTTTAAATTTAATTTATTGTACTTATTGTATTTATTGTATTTTTGTTATTAGTTATTGATTAATATTTATTAGAGATTAAACTATTATTTGATATTATACTATTTATTGACTAAGTTAATATATTTTTAGTACTTATTGTATTTTCTAATTTCTGTAATTATTCTTTTTTTCATTATCAATATATTTTTAATAATTATTTATTTTTGCTATAAATTTTCAATAACTATTGGAGATTAAACTATTGTTATTTATCAGAGATAAGACTATTAATTTAGTTGAAATTATGAGTGTTCATGAGTTGGTTTAGTTCGGTCGTAGGTTATTTGGCCAACCAAATTGACCTGGTCAGGTCAGAGAGTTGGTTAGCTGAAACCAACTAACCTTTTGTGAAAATTGACCCACTCAAGTTGTATCGGTTTGGGTCAGTTTTTTGGTTTGGTCAGTCTGTTCAAAAGATTTAAACTTAAAAATTATAGTGAGATTATTAAAAAATAAATTTAAAATTTAGATTTATGATATAAAACATTTTTTACTAAGAAATATGGGAAAATTCCCACTTTTCCATATTAAAAATTATATTTAAAATATAAAATGTTAATATATATCCATGGTTAGGTCATTCGGTTTTGGTTGATTTACAAATGGCCAAAGTGAAAGTGACCCAACTTGGTTGAATTGGGAAATTTTTGAACCAAAGCCAACCTAAAATACTAGAAAACTGACCAACTTGGGTCGAGTTAATCGAGTTGGCCGGTTTCATCAGTTTGATAAATAAACCTAATTGAAATTAATTATTGTTATTTTTGTATTATAAAAAAATTATTAAAAATAATATATAAAATATGAATAATTATTAATTATTTAAAAAGCTGAAAATATAAAACAATTATATACTCCTATGTGTTTCTATTAGGGTCATTTATTAGAACACACTTTTAGGGATGACAACTTTCCCTATCCCTGACGGGGACTTGACTACCCTTTTTGGCGGGGTGGGGGCGGGGATGGGGATTAATAGGAATCTCCAGTCGAGGTCGGGGTCGGGGTCAAGGATGGAGATTGAGGTCCCCGCCCCGCCTTGACCCCAAATATTAAATATACTATCATATTATTTATATTATATGTATATCAAAACATATTTAAAACATTATTTATAATTTAAAATTTTATTTATTTTAAATAAATTTGTTTAAAAAATACTATTATCTGAAAACATTTTGGGGATTCGGGTCCCCATGGGGAACCCATCCCCGTTGGGGATCGAGGTTGGGGACGGGGAATATGATCCCCACCCCGTTGTCATTCCTACACACGTTATAGTTTTACATATTTACTTAAGCTTACCTTATAGTTTTCATTTTACTAAAACATCTCATATATTTTACAACTTATTTACTTAATCAACATTTCATTAAGGAGTATTTGCTTTGCCATTAGGCTCATGATTTTTTATTTCAAAAATACCCTTAACACTTTTTTGTATAGAAGACAAAATTGACCAAATATAGCCAATAGAGTRGTTGCTCGTGTCTTATTAAGGGCAAAAATGGTATTTTTATTTTTATTTTCTTTTGATTAAATTTATTTAAATGAGCATTAAGATCAACATTGTCATTTTTCACATCATCTAATATAAGATTGATTAAATTCATTGCAAATTATAAATGATGTTTTAGTAAAATGCTAACTATAAGATAGATTTTTTTGAAAGCCCACATTTCATATTTTGGATATATGTTTTAACCACGTATGGATGGATTATGGTCAATTAATAGGTTAGAAAAAATGGTGTGGGAAGTGACAACCGACAACCTTCTCTTCTCACTTGCCTGCACGGCTGCACCTATTTCTCTCTCTCTCTCTACCAATCTCCCATCTTTCTCTCCCACGAATCAAGGCAGGAGGGAGGATAACAAGTTGTCTTTTAAATCAGGGTCAATTTTGTTCACAAGAAAAGCCTTTTTCTTCTTGTTCATTATTTTTTCGATTAATTTTTTAAGCATATTTGAGCTTTTATGCAAAAATTAACCAAAGCATGGTCATTTTCATGCAAATAAGAAAAACCCTATTTTTCATTTATGTTATCATGAAATATGGCGGATTTGCATTTGGAATCATATCCAATTACCGCTCCGCCAATGAGCAATTCAAACGCAGCAGGTTCCTTTTTATTACCTTTCGAGTAAATTTCTTTATCTTTATTCGTTGGGGCCCAACCAGTACCATTGCCACGCTGAGGTACTCTACTGAGGAAGGTGTTTCTGTGTTTGGCAACGACGCTGGCATTTCACAGCATTGCGTATCATGGTTGCGAATCATGAACGCACCATCTGATGTGCGCTAAATACGCATCCTGCTAGCATTTCTTACAAGCTAGCCGCGGCGATTTGCAAATTCAAAGCTGAGTGCAGGTAGTGTTTCTTCTCATACTTGTTGTAGTTTCTTAATTTTAGTATCAAGTTTAATTTTTAAATTGAGCAAAATTTGTCTTGTTAAATGCGATCTATTTGACATCGATTCCTGTTATGTCAATAGATTCATTCGGTACTCACAATTAGATCTTCTTTAGGTGGGATTTGGGAAGAAAAGCAAAAGATTGAAAGGCACTGTAGTTTAGGCTGTTAATAGGAACAAAATGACGTTTATCATGGCTGCTTTAGATCTTTCTGTGCCTCCCCCTTCAGTTCCCAAACAAACAGTTTAGCTTTCCTAGTGGGGATAGCGTTTCTTATCCGTATGCCCGTGGAGTTCTGAGAATACAAACTTTAACCTTACTGGGACATTACAGTCCGGTTCTGTTTTTTCTTCTGCAAACTTGAAACTGACAAACTTCAAGAAAAGTTCTGAATCGCAGTAGGTGCTTTAGCTTTACTTCCTGACGACTTTGTGCGCTTATTGGAGAAGGAACTTAATAGCAATGGATAATATTGATGAAGCATATAAAGACAAAATACTGGCACTTACAAGGGCATTATATGCAACAAGATCTGTAAAAGATGACAATATTCCGTGCAAAATTGAAGAGGTGATTTAATTTAGATGTAGTACCATATCTTTTATTACTCATTTGTTTGTCTTATCTATCTGGGATTAATGTACGACCAATACTGAATCTCTTATTAGTCTTTTTCTTGGATATCTCAGGGCCTCTTTCTGGGTTCTCTTGGAGCTGCATCTAACAGGAATGCACTGAAAAGTTTGAATGTCACTCACATATTAACCGTGGGAAATTTATTAGGGCTGGGCTATCTGTCACATGCAAATGAATTCATATATAAAGTAATTGAAGGTGAGCAATCCTTCAAATTTTGATCCCTTAAAAGTGATGCTTCTTGATTTATGTTTACCGATATGTTATGTTCTAGCTAATTAAATCTGTTACCCATCCATAAATTACCTTGAGCGTACCTTTAGCCTTATATGCTAACCAATCCTCTAAATCTATTCATTTTTACAGTGTATCCTGTTCCTGTTTGCTTCCTTGATTCTGAGAACGGATAGAAACATTGGCACCTGACAATGATGATGATAACTATAAAGTGTTTCTTTTCTTGACTGATTAAAAATGTTAAAACCCAAAGATATTTTTGTCTTTTCTAAATGCTTAGTTATAATATTAGTGATTTTGCATATAGATATCACCTTTGATGATGCAATGGATATGATTTATGCTAACATATAAAAGAGTCTGGCATGTGATTCATGTACCCTTGATATTGTATTTCAAGGGTTTCCTTATTATAATTTTTTTATCTGAAACAAAGAGGAAAATATGCCAAAAGAAAAGAGAAGAAAGGAAGGGAAAATAAAAGGGTCAGAAGAGTTAGACCTAATTTCAGAGAGCCCAATACAACTCGACCCATAAAATGGAAAACAGTAGAGCTTGAAGTTTTGTTGCTACATTTTTTTTTGTTAAATGTGACGGCTGATGTGGAATTCCTCAGCAGGCTCTTATGTTTATCTGCATAACCCTCTTTCCAAGTGGCATGCTTCAGCCCAAATAGCAGTTTTTCACATGCAAGAAAGCTGTGATATCGCCAACTTCAAAAGCCAGTAATGGAAGAAAAGAATGCAATTTGCACATAATGTATCAAGATTAGGATTGCAACTTGGATGGGCTTGGGTTGAACATTTTTTAAAATTTGAATATCTTTGGCCAGGCCCAATGCAGTGTAAATTCTTCAAATTAGGTACCCAACTTGCACCCCTAATCATGGTGATTTTTCCTAATGAGATCCTTGTAGAAATTTTCTTATGTTGGCGAATCTTCTATTTGGTTGGTTTACTTCAGTAGCAGTTCTCTATGATATTTTTGCTTGTACTGTCATGATGTCATCGTAAGCATGGAATACTGGAAACTTCATTTATTCTTATTTTGCTATCTGTAATTTGTAGTGTCTGACACGGAAGAAACAGATATAGCTCAGCATTTTGATGCCTGCTTCAAGTTTATTGATGAAGCTAAGAGAATGGGTGGTGGTGTGTTAGTTCATTGTTTTATGGGCAAATCAAGAAGGTGAATATTTCTTTCTTTGCCTGCGTTGTCTTCTTTCAAAAGGTCTCTTTTCTTGTGGTCTTTAAGCAAAATGTGCAAGAGGTTTAAGTGCTGGGTAGTGATATTTAAGTAATTGTCCTTACATCCACAATATTATACTTCCTTTTTACAATCTTATCTTAGAATGAAGAGGAGCTCAGATCAGTGTTGTAATTGATGTAAATATGCAGTTTCCTCGGCAAAGACACATAAATACACATGCACACACTTCAATTGGACAAGGAGGTCAACAAATGGTTTGATTGATACTTTGGCAAAGCAGGGGATCATTAGGGAGAACCTTTTTTGGGCTGTGTTGTAAACCTTGGGATAAAATATGGGATCAATACTCGTGCTGTGAGTGGTTGACATTGAATGTTTTTATATATTGTTTTAATGAAAGTTACTGTTTCCCATCAAAAAAAAAAAAAGGAAACACATGCACATGCACATGCAAATGCAAGTTTTTTTTGGATATGGTCTACTAAATGCTGGTGAAGATAAAGATTCAATTAACAGAGAAACACATACAAAGATGTTTGTGGTTTTGTGTGCTTTACATGATGATGATTTCTCTAATTTTAAGTTGCAAATAGACAGATTAGAGTTAAATTGAGATTAATTAGATGTCCTACCTTAAGAGATGCATTATATGAGGCAATTTTATGTTCTCCTTTCTCCAAGGATAATTTGATCAAACCAACTAGCCAAACTGACAAGAAAATTATGGGCTAGAAGAACGGCTTACCATTGGTGCTTGTTGACAAAGCATAGGAATGTATTTTTGTAAATTGAAGCATCAAATATATCACAACCTTCGCAATTAAGGTTGTGTTTGGTTGCAATGCAAATAAATTTGCACTGATGCAAAACCATGGCAGTGCAAATGATTTGAGTGTAAATTCTAACCTATTTTTATTTCAAATTTTAGCTTATTTTGTTTGATTGCAATATAAATGAAGTAAATTAAGACATGAAGAAGAATAAAATAATACCCAAAACAAAATTAACTGAGAAAATGCATTTTTTTTTCATTTGCACTCCTATGTATTTGTACTAGTGCAAATAAAATTGCACTGCAACCAAACACAGCCTAAGATGCAAACATAGCAATGGCTGTGCTCGAAGTCAGTCCCCTATAACTGATCCTTTCCAACTAAGATGCAACATAGTTGGATTAACTTTTTCAAGGAGACAATAACTACAGACTTTGTATGCAAGTGCAAGTGAACAATTCACAATTCACTATGACATAATATATCCAAAATAAATAAGAGAACAGAGGAAGAATATAAAGAGCAACAGAGTAATGAACACATTAAGCAAAGAGAATGAACTATTTTATCTAGACAATTAGCTGTTGGCACATTTTGCATCTTAAATTGAAAAACAATTGTATGAGGACAAGTTAAGAAATCGGGTCCTATTTTGATTAACATGTGATAAATATCCCATTTTCTACAATTAAAAATCCTGTAATTTTCTATCAAAAGGTGATTGAATCATTGGAGTGAAGAAATTTGAATACAAAAGGTTGATCAAGAGGTATGACATAACTCTGAGATGCATCTGCATTGTTGAAGAAAAAGGGATTTATTTCTGGTGTCTAGAAATTGTCAAAGGCATTCAGTCCTCAAACAGAGCAGAAAACAGAAAAAGAAGAAAGAGAGGCACCGCTAAAAACTCAAATCAATCCCACTTTACCAACTGAGCAACAGCCAAATTTGTAACCATTCAAAATATAATCTCTATTAAATTTCTGTATATCCTATAGTATATACTATAACAAAAGTTGCAATCATGGATTGGAAGTTGAACTTGCTCTGAGAAGCCCCTTTGAAATTTTTATCATTCCAAAAGACTAAAATATGGATAGTTACTAATATGTGATATAAATTCCATAATTTCCCATAATATTCTATGAAGAGGGGGAGATATAATTAGGAAGGGAATGGAGGTACCTGTTTTGGGGCTTTTGTAGGAGATAATGAGTTAAGGTGGTTCTGACTTTTATTTTGTTATGTTGAAGAAGTCTATAGGCTATAGCATGGGACCTGCTTTAGATGGCATAGCGTTTGAAGCTGGGGAGTTGAAGATTTAGGTGTTTTTGGTTGGTGTGAAATGATAAGGGTGCCTGTTTTTCCTACTCGGGATGTTGGGTTGTTCATATATTTGGGATTAGAAGAGTATATGCATCAGACAGTGGTTTTTTTTGGACTTCTCTTAGGGCAGGGGATACTTGTCATAGTGTCTTTTTCTCTCCTTGGTGATTTTGTATCACACCAGTTCTTGATGCATGGAGGAAATACTTTTTTGTTCTTAATATAGATGACAAAAATAGTTTTCTTAACATTTCTTAATTCTTATACATTATTTCTAGTCACTCAAGCAAGAAAACAAGTAATTACTTCTGTTCATGATTACATGTTCTTTCCTAAAAGTTTCCATAGGTATTGATTTTTCCAGAGTGCCCATCTGCATGTGCAACACTCTTTGAAAAACCACTTACTGATACCACCATGTTGCTGGATATTTTTTTCTCTTTTTTTATGCTAAACTTTTTACATATTATGGGAAAAGCCCTGGACTCTACAAGGCCCTTAACGAGTACTTTTTTTTCTCGATACTTAAAATCAATTAAGTAAAATTTTTGAAGGGAATTGAGGATTTGTATTCTATGTTGGATTCTTAGCTTTTAGGAAGATAGTAATTGAGTTGAGTTTATCTTGTAGTGTCACAATAATTGTTGCTTATTTGATGAAAAAGCATCACATGGGTCTATCTCAAGCTCTAGAACATGTAAAGAGTAAAAGGGCACAAGCAGCTCCTAACCCTGGTTTCATGATGCAGCTACAGAACTTTGAGAAGTCCCTTACAGGTATAATATGCTTAACAGAATGTCTTTCAGTTTGATGCCATACTTGTTTGAAGTGTGTTCAGAGCTTACATTTGTCAATTTCATGCATAGTTTTCTATCTGAGCCTTGAATATCTATAATGCATTAACGGAACTCTGTTAATTACTATTTCTTCTTACCCATGAAATGACATTTGTCGTTTTGAACCTTTTATGACCTATACTTAATTATTCATATCAACTGCTAGAAGTGATATAGTGCAACCCTGGACTAGAAGTTGTCAGTGGAAAGAAACTGAATCCTTAAACCAATTACTCTCTTATCTCCCTCAATTTATGTATGATCATAGAACACCATGTAGCCACATCAAGTAATCTAGTTATAACTGCTATAGGTCAACTTAAATTAACCAGATATAACAAATTGCATATCCATGTTCCAAATAGATCTCTACTTCTCTAGTTAGTTGGTTAACAACTAAGGAGGAACACGTGTTGTAGCCCAACAAGCCTGTAGATCATAACAAAACAGCACTAAATATAGGCAATAATTACCAACAGATTTTATCTGAACCACTTATTAGTAGTTTTGTACCTGAGTTGCAATATCTTCATTCTTCACCATACCAGATCTAAATACTTGGAAATAATAGGTTGCTCAATTGCTACAATTTCTAAGATAAAAGAAGTTACAAAATAAAAAGGGAAATAGACGAAGAGTATTTATGTAACATTTCCAAACCAAATTCAATTCAGAAATTGACCTCAATCAGTTAAGTCCTTCCTGATTTCTTATTTTATTAGAACTTCTAAAGTAATCTTAATGCTAAGTTCTGATGGATTGGGTACATATCCACTTTAACAAACACCTAATGTATTAACTAATCCTATTAAAGATATTGCAACTTCATGTTGAAACTTGGTGTATGCAATTTCTAACAAGTAATGCCCAAGGATTAAAATGTCAATACAATACACCTGTATTGAGGTATATCATATCTGTAGCGGTGTACCATATATGCATAGATACACCATTACAAAGGCCTTTTATAAGATTTGGGTCTTTAGAGATATGGACCTCAACCCCCAATATTAGAAAACAAAAGAAGTAAAAAAATAAAAATAAAAATGAGGGTATTGGTGATATCAATATGCAGCGATACCCAGTTTTATTGGGCATATTGATATTTTAATCCATGGTAATGCCCCTTTAAAATCATGTTGACTTGGATTTTCTATATTTTAAGTATCATGTAAGGATTCTTTTCATTTCTAATTTTATTTCCTCTTTGGGATGTTAATGGAATGCATCTAAAATATTATACATAATTTGCTTGAATATTGTCCAACATATAATGTGCCCATATATCCTACCAATAGGTGGACCAATTTTCATCAGTCCCAATGTTTTGGGGTCAGACAGACACTTATGCCTCTCTCTCTTTCATTCCCCTCAAACTAGATATTGTAGTGCACAATACTAGCTACTATAACAATGCCCTGGAGAGCAGTAGTTCCAAGCTGTTAGTCATGTCTCATACTGATTTTTTTCCCTTCACTATCATTTTCTGGTTTCCTAGGTGTTTCTCTTTTGTGGACATCACTTGATGGTTTTTTGATAAGCAAGCAGATTGTGCCAACTTGCTAAGGTGAATATAGGTTTTCCAGGCAGGCCTATGGTACCAACCAAGATCTTTCACCTAATTTCTTTTACAGTTGGAGAAATCTCCATTGCCCTATATGCTTACGTGCATTGAGTCTTTGAGATTCATTCTTGTAAGCAGTTTTATCATAGTATGTGGGCACAAATGCCAAGTATTCAGGTGTCAACACTCCACAGGCGTATGACACAACAGTCATCATATATAAATCAAAATTGAGAGAACATTGCCAATGAAAGTGCTACATGTGTTTTTCCTCTCCTGGCAATTTCTATGGAATCTAAGCCAAACGGATATGCACGTCAATTTGAATGAATACTTGTTGATTGGTTATCAGTTTTTCAAGTTAGATATCTCTTCAGGACCATAGTTGGACTCAGCTTTCTTATGATAATACATTGTTTAAGAGTATTTAGTGCCAATGTTTCTTGTTGGCTTCCTATTAGAGCAATATCAGCATATTAAAAAAAGGAGAAAACTTTGGCTGTCTAAATTAGACAGCCTGGGTTGTCAACAGGGTGTGTGACGAAACGTAGTTCACCCGGCAACCAATCCAGCACTGATACTACTACAAGGAGTCTATGTGAACTAACGTGTCATGCATGTAAAGCCCTGTTGACAGCCCAAGCTGTGAAATTTAGACATCTCAATTTTTTCCTTAAAAAGGTGTTGTGCCAAGTCCCAGGTGTGGGCATCTAATTCACATCTGCTCCCCACAAGCGCCCCACAGAACATCCCAACCGTGTATTGGTAACATCTCCCAATGACAAGTAAGGGAAATGTTCCCAATTCACGCTGAGATGTGCATGTGGGGGCATTCTATGGGGCGCAGTTGTGAACTCGTGGGCATCATATCCATGTGTCAGCATAGCTAGACCAATTAGTCTTGAGTATGGCTTCATGTAGATCCTGCACGATTACATTCATGAACTGCAAATTTTTCTGCCTACTTGTGTTCAGGCACAGTTTCAAATTTATATTCATCTTCAGTCAAAGCTGGTTATGGTAAAATATATTTATGATTCAATTTCGGTACTAATCTTTGGAGGAAGCAGTTGTCTGTTTTGTTCTAATCATCATAGGCAGTATATTTGAACGATATTGTTGTTTTCTACACTCAATTCAGCCTCTAGTCATCTAGTGGCTTTAAATGATTTTATTTCTCAATAATTAACTGTTCATTTTCCCTGTGCAGCGAATGATATGGTAAATGAAGATGGAGAGACGGGTGAATGAACGTGCACAACTTAACATGGGACCTTGTGTATTTTCAAGCAATGTTTTCACTATTTCATGATTCCAGGGTACTTGGCTGATCATCTATGCCAATCAAATCTATTTATGAATATGATTCTTGTAAACAGACAATGGTCAATGCCCAAGGAGATTAAATAAGCAAAGCTGAATTAGACAATTTCTGTTTACATTTTCGGGCGATGATTTATTCCAATTTCATCGAAATTAATGGTGTTAAGTTATAACAAGTTTCTGACCTCTCAGCTGCTCTGAGTTGAACTGAGATGAACCTTCTATCTTACAGCTGCCTGCTTAAAAAGAGTTCAAAGTTGGCTTCACTATCTCTTCGTGAGAAGTCCGATAACTGAAATTAAAATTTGGACTGTTTATCATGGCGAAAAATCTTGATAAAGTGCTACTGCTACGTCGACATATATACATATGATACATGCTAAGGATTTGCTGGTAACAGGAGAGTCTGCATTGTTACGTGCATCCCCTGTAGCCAGTGGGTCCATTAAAAAGCCTCTTTTCATCCGATCAGAATAGTGTGTCTAAGCTGGTTAAATGACCTTGATTGCCTATTTGGATGTCTTCAGAATGAAACATCTCCAATAAATGTCGGATATTTGTTTTGTTCAGATAAAAGAAAATAATTAATTAATTAATGAAATGTTAAATCAGACAGCAGCGATCTCATTACATGTCAGAAATTGTATGGTCTCTGTTGGATCATTATTTGGAAATTGTCTATTTTATTTATTTGTTTTTAGCTCTTATCTCTCAGTTATATTTGAGTGTAGACTGTAGAGCATTTTGAAAGTGATTTTGCATTAGTTATATCCTAGGATTTTTTTTTTTTGGGGGGGGGGTATTTAGGGATTTTAAGCCAATCTATTTTCTCTTCAATCCATTTCCATGTAGTGGGGCTCTTGGCTGTTAAAGTCTTGGGAAATAAGACCTGTATCTCTATAGGAATATCCCACAATCTTCCGCCCATCAAACATGGAACAAGTGTTTGAGCTTAGCAGCTAGAAGAGGCTTTGGTGTTGACGATGATCCATCCCACGGAGCAATAAATGATTTTACACCATTTAATTTGCATGTGAAGGGGATTGTACATTCAGTCCCATTTCTTTCACGGGTATTTTCTCATTTGACTTGCTATTATCTAACTATCTATTTGTATTACTGGTTCCACAAAGAAGCAAGCAATTTCCATTGACAACTTTCGTATGAAACCACTTTTCACGGCTATACAAAAGTAGTTGCTTCGTATCACTTGATGAAATCCTTCCTGAGCTATCCCACAAGCTAAGGGAATCCAATCCGAATATGTGATTTACTAGTTAACCAATCAACTCAATCGGCTTCGCTTCACTTGTTTTGTTTGTTGGCTAGCTTAAAATCCAAAATACGAAGCCAAAGTACTCAACCTAGGGGTAGGGGTCGGTTTGGTTTGGGGTCTTTTCCTATTTGCATCACCTTCACCTAAAGCTTGTTATTAACAAATGGAAGCTTAGTCAGTTAATAAGAGTCTGATCATGCCATGCACGTGGCATAATGAAATGAAACAGGCCATGGGCATGAGATAGATGAGCAGCTCGATAGTTCTTGCTCCCTTTTGTCTCACGTTGCTCACGTAATGAAGCCAAGATAATAAACGTGAGATGTAATACGAGAGAGAGAGAGGAGAGAGAGGGGGGGGGGTCTCACGAGAGTGCAACATAAGCATTTATTAAGAAAGGACTCCAGATCGCCTGTCCACACAAATTCTGCCCACGTCTATTCAGAATATATTATTCTTGTGAATTGGGAATATCTCCCACTGTATAATATTATGTAGGAGGATGAAATGTTCTTGATGTATGGCTGAGATGTTGTGTGGATAAACGTGGGCAGAGTTTGTGTGAACAGGAGATCCGGACTCGAAAGAAAGCAAGGCGTAGTTCTAGAGATTGGTAGATGCATGACACACACTTCACTTATTCCCGCGTCCACAGTTGCAAGTATATAAAATCATGAACTGACTGAACTGTGTCCACGATACGATTTTATGAGAATAAGGAAGAGCAACATCCCAAAGGCAGAAGAGGAATAGCAGAGAATCCCATCACGCAAATATGTCCCATATAGCCGTGGAGAGGAACAGAAGAAAGCAAATGAACGAGCATCTCAAGGTTTTACGCTCCTTGACCCCATGTTTCTATGTCAAAAAGGTCTCTTTCTCTCTCTCTAACTTTGATTTTCCTGTATCTCCCTTTCACTTTCTGAACTTTGATTTGTTTATGTCTATTAAGGGAGACCAAGCATCCATTATAGGTGGGGTTATAGAGTTCATCAAGGAGTTGCACCAAGTTCTACAGTCTTTGGAGTCTAAGAAGAAAAGAAAGAGCTTGAGCCCTAGCCCTAGCCCACGGCCACTGCAACTCACTCCTCCCCCACCTGACAGTCCGTTTGTATTCGAAAATGTTAAAGAACTTGGAGCATGCTGCAACTCTCCAGTTGCGGACGTTGAGGCAAAAATCTCCGGCTCAAACGTTATCCTGAGAACAATTTCCAGGCGAATTCCCGGTCAAATTGTCAAGATTATTACTATCCTGGAAAAACTTGCGTTTGAGATACTCCATCTCAACATCAGTAGCATGGAAGACACGGTTCTGTACTCTTTTGTCATTAAGGTTTGACGCGATCGATACTGATATAGAACTAATATATAGAGCTCTTAAGCGTACTAATTTCTTTATCTTAATTACTACATCCTAATCTATTAAGTAAATCAATTTGGAAAGTATCCATACCTTCAGGCTGGTTATAACTAGAATTCCATGTAAGAAAACTTACAACTATTTGCACTGGTAGTTGCACCTAGTCATGCAAAATTGCATGGCTAATGAAGCCCAAACAATCGAATGTTGCTACTCCTTGAACAATTGTTACGTTATCCAATCTATCTTAACGTTGTTTTCCCATTGGAAAGAAAAGAAAAAGAGAGCAAATATCTCTTTTGACCTTATATCCCATATTATTCTCTATTAGATTTTCTACCAAAAAACATTAGACTATGATAGAATGCCACTTTGTTTTTTTTTCATATATAATTGGGTAAATGCTTGATTTTATGATGAACRCAATAGTTGATTATTGGGGTTTATTCAATGAAATTTGACTATAAATATCATTTTATCTATATGGAATTTTGTTTTCCAGCTTACTCTTCTACAGATGTTTAAAGAAGAAATGAAGCACAGATAGGCAGATAGGTGAGTGTGGTGTGTGTGTTTTTTTTGAAAATGGTTTAGGTCCAGTTCATCCCTCCCAAGACGTTAGATAGCTGTGACCAACATTGGGCTCGTAATGGCCCCTTGACCCCTTTTCAAACAAAAGTAGAAAATGGTGTCTAATTGCACCTTTATTAGAAGCGAGACTACTTCTCTTCCAACAAGATTTTTCATTTGTTAGGAGAAATTTCCTTGTTTATTTTGACTTTGATGCTTTAGAATCATGATCACAGTACTGAAATGATTGATGTAAAAGAAAAAAAAAATCTCTAGAAGCTAATATTTAATATATGCATATATTTAATTTTCTTTTTATAGATTTTCCTTCATATATATATAAAATAAATAATAAAAATAATACAAATTGGAGGAGAATACAAGAAAGAGGTAAATAGAAGAGAGAGTATCTGCTAGTACATTGTCTGTGTCTATATGCATTGTAGGAGGCTTGCCTTGTCATATGAACTACAGCCAGCTGATACGTTATAAATGCATATTAATTGAATATCAGTAGAACATATAATCATTTTAATTGCAGATAGAAATAATATTCATTTTACTACGCATGGATACATCAAATTCCCACACAAATTATCGATATATGTACTGTATCATAAATTACTATAATTAAATTAAAATCCATAAAACATGGTTTGGTTCTAAAAACCACTCAAACTATTTAATGGATTTCTACTTTTTTTTTTTATCTTTATGAACTTACAATTGTCCTGCACTGCATTAGTTCTTCATTTCTACTTTTGTTTCCATGGGTATTACCAGATGATGTTCCTAGCTAGCTAGCTAGCTAAATAAATTGGGTTTCTATATAAAGAATTCCCACCTTTATTATTCATTAGAACCTTGCTGAGGCATTTAGTGAAATCAGTAGTAATAATTTGGAGCCTTCCTCTTGTGAAACAGATTGGACTGGAATGTCAGCTCAGTGTGGAAGACCTAGCGAATGAGGTTCAGCAAAGCTTCTGCGAAGATCTTACTTCTGTGATGAATTGAGATGATAGATAGTTTTTACAGGTCAAGTGATGGTTAAATGGTTACGTTTTAATTCAATACAAATGGGAGTCAAAAGAACCTGATGAGTCTGTTTCTCTATGAATATATATGTTCTTTAGATGCTTTATCTACTTAACCATAACCAAGTATATATAAGACAACGTATGCAACCATATACCAACTTATGAGAAATGAAATGAAGTTCTTGCTTGTTATATATTTTGCACCATGAATAGATCGGAGCTGGATTGGACTGGCTTATATATCTTGAATCCCTAACAAGGGAGGAATATACCATGGAAATTAATTAAGCCCTTCAGTAACATCATACACGTCTGTGGAATTTGATTCAACCAGCAGCATTTGCGATTAGACCCCATTTTAGAAAAAGGCAAGAGATCTTCCTTATTTTTTAATAATTCTAAAACCAGATTTGAAGAACACCAACAAAACAAGTTAGCCCAATTAAACAAAGGGCACACCAAGCCACCCATCATATCATAGACGGAAAGAATATGAGAACTCAATTATCACGTGAGTCATACTTTGTCACTCTTTATCAATAGTTTTCCTACCAGTATTAAATTGTTAAGTATTGTTAGATAATAAAACCTATTCAATGACCTCACTTAATAGCTTAACCTTTTAGGTTGAATGGTTCTCTGAGTGCCATTTGACCAATTGGTCTAGTGTTTGATTCTTGTCACCCCGATTATAATTAATTAAGTTTCAGCACAAGATATGGGTGGACCTGTGCTGTCCATGCTTCAAATCCAATGGGCTTTAGTGTGAGGGGGCATGTTAGAGAATAAAACCTATTCAAGGACCTCACTTAACAGCTTAACCTTTTAGATTAAATGATTCTCTAAGAAGTACGAACTAGCTTCAGAATTCTTCTCCAAAATAATTGTAACTAGAAAATTAAAGGTTAATAAATGGCTTTGACTATGTATTTAAAAAATCCTTTGAGATCTGAAAATCTGCTAACCCATATTGCAAAGCCTGCTCCTAGAAAAATTAGTAGAGAGAGAGAGAGAGAGAGAGCAAAAGTTGGTTTATGCATGCTTTTGATAATCTAACACCTCAAAGTGTGGACGTTTATATGAAGAAGTGATGAGAATAAAACAAGATATTCTGRCGGGATGGGAGTGATGAGAATAAAAGTTATCATATTTTTATCCCCAAATATTCAGTCTTTTATACTGAATTAGTGCTTATTTGGACTTATATTTCTTGTATTTCGGTTCAGGACATGAAAGAAGGCATCAGGAGAAAAGCAAGGCAAATCGGATGATTTTTCATAGTTTCGGCACCGCTCAGTAATATGGTCTTAACTCTCGTATCCGAGATCCGATTGGGCTGATTCAAGACTCACTGGAAAGATAAGAGAGAAAGCTACAACTTTCATGTTTTAGGCTTTTGTAGATTCGATGTGCATCAAAGTCAAATCCGGGCCCGAAGTTGGGGAAAATTCATAGGAAGGCCCAATTCGCAGCTGAAGCCCAACTTGCAGAAAAGCCTTGCAGCAGCCCAATTCGCAGAGGAAGCCTAATACGAATGCAAGAACAAGAAACTGAGAAGAGTCCTACTAGATTTAAATTTGTGATATAATCCTAGAAAGATAAAGAGATTGAGTTCATTAGATAAAGAGATAAGAGTAGGATTAGACTAGAACTTTCTATTTTTGAAAGATAAACTCCAAGAAGGAGTTGGAGACCACCCCTTCCCCTTTAAGCTATATAAAGGGATTGGGGGCGGACTAGAGAGGCATCAAGAAGGCACAGGAGCAATCAATCAGCAAATCAAGAAAGCTTCAAGAAGGAGGTGGCGGCAAGGAAAAGAGGAGATCTCAACACCATGGGCGAATTCATGAGTTATTTCTTTCCTCTTGTTTGCTTTATTTCCTTTATCATGAACTGATTTGTTTTTAGCTAGGGCTGTGAAAAGCCTAACCATGATAATGAATATATTTTTATCATTATGATTTATCCAAGATCGTGATTTCTATATAGTCTATGAGTTATTTGCTTAATGCGATTAGGAGTGGTCATCTCTTAATTGATTAGGTTTTATGAATGAATCGGGAGATGAATTCATATATTAGACCACATAATTCATGGTGTTAATTGAATGGTATATAGGGATATATACACATAATTCATGGTGTTAATTGATGGGTGACTTGATAGAAGTAGGTTTAATATATCTTGGGAAAGAATATTAAATAAAATTGGAAAAAGTTCAGCTTATGGGAATGACAAATTATCTTGGTTAATGTCATCCATTAATATTCGTTGGAATGGTTACGCGGACCAATGGTCCTAGCGATTTCAATTAATCATTGCATATTCAGTTATTGATTACCCATGCTTTTATTTTCTTTCTCTATTTTTTATTTTTAGTAGTTCTTGTTGTTGGATCTAAATTTCAGTTGTCCAAATAATTAAGGAAGGCTGTAGTTCTAATACTTATTTTGTTAAATCCTCGTGGGAATGATATTTTTATACTACTTGATAACTAGTGCAGTTGTTAGGGTTATAATCATAGCTATCAAGTTTTTGGCGCCGTTGCTGGGGATTTAATCCTAAAATAATATTAGAACTTGTTAACCTTGGTTAATTTGGATTTTTTTTTCTTTTTCTTTATTTAAAGAGATGCTTGGGAAGTATCCTCACCATGGAATACCGGTTTGGCATCAAATTCAAACTTTTTATAATGGTATTATTCCATCCTATCGCTCCATTATTGATGCAGCTGCAGGTGGCACAATCATGAGAAAAACACCAGAGGAAGTTTATAATCTAGTGGAAGAGATGGTGTCGAACAACTACTAGTGGAGTAATGACCGAACTAATTGAAGGGGAGTACACCACATCGATTCCCTTGCAGCCATATCTGCCCAACTTGCTAGTCTGAATAAAAAATTTGATACTTTTAATATTGCAGCAATGAATACATCATCTAGTATCCCATGTGATTTCTGTGGTCAAATAGGATATACTAATTCTGACTGTCCATTAGGTAATCCTTTTGCTTCACATGAGCATGCTAATTTTATCTCTCATACTGGCAGGCCGAATTTCAACCCCTACTCAAACACATACAACCCAGGGTGGAGGAATCATCCAAAATTTTCATGGAACAACAACCAACAAAAAGCACCCATGGGATTCCAACAACAGCCGCCCCCACAAGAAAAGAAGAGTAATTTG